TTCATATAAAAATTCTTTTGTTTATTACTTATTTGAATCACAACTAACGCATACTTTATTACTTAATTAATTCATTTATTAAAAATTTTGAAAAAATGGAAACATTTGTGATTATAGAGTATTTTTCTCTATAATTAAAAATTTGCAGTTTAACTAATTGTATGCCATTTTTATATAGACTGGTACAACTGCATTATTCTTCGCAGCTCAAGGTGGTTATTTAGAGGTTGCAAAAGTTTTAATCGAGGCCGGCTCACCTATTGATTGCCCTAGCATAGTAAGTTATTATTCATCTACATAAAAATTTATTAGGCACTCAAACCACGGACAAATCCAAAAACTTGGATTATTAATTAGTTGATGAAACTGGTTGAGAATCGAGATGAAAATGATAAGATTCCTATATTCGTTATTAGAAGTTCACCATTTGAACAAAAACATAATTTGAAAATAAAAATATTACTTCAATTTAGAAAGCTTTTTCAATATAATTGATGTCCAAATTAATGCATGATAATAAAATAATTATTTTTCTGCAGGATGGAGGTACGCCTCTCTTCGTAGCCAGCCAATGCGGTCATTTGCACGTCGTCAAAGAGTTACTATGCATGGGCGCCAATGTCCACGCCGCTATGACCGTAAGTTTATATAATATAGTTTTTAAAAAAATAAATTTTGAGAACATACCATCTGTTTAAATACTAGTATTGATCGCGGAGCCAGCCACCCATCAACCTCGCATATCTCAGAAACTATTGAATGTTCCAACTTTAAATTTTGGTCACAACCTTGGTAAAGTATAGTGACAATCTGTGTCAAGTTTCATCAAAATGGAATTATGCATTTTTGAAAACGTACAATCTATCAATCAATACTAGTATTGAGAGCGGAGCGAGCCACCCGTCAACCTCGCATATCTCAGAAACTATTGAACGATCCAACTTTAAACTTTGGTCACAATCTTGGTAAAGTATAGTGACAATGTGTACCAAGTTTCATCAAAATTGCAGATCGCATTTTTGATAACATACCATCTGTTTAAATGTTAGTATTGAGCTCGGAGCAAGCCACCCATCGATCTCGCATATCTCAGAAACTATTGAACGATCCAACTTTAAATTTTGGTCACAATCTTGGTAAAGTATAGTAACAGATTGAGTCAAGTTTCATCAAAATCGTAAATTGCATTTTTGAGAACATACCATCTGTTTTAATACTAGTATTGAGAGCGGAGCGAGCCACCCATCAACCTCGCATATCTCAGAATTTATTGAACGATCCAACCTTAAACTTTGGTCACAATCTTGGTAAAGTGAAGTGACAATCTGTGTCAAGTTTCATCAAAATGAAATTATGCATTTTTGAAAACGTACAATCTGTTTCAATACTAGTATTGAGCGCGGAGCCAGCCACCCATCAACCTCGCACATCTCAGAAACTATTAAATGTTCAAACTTTAAATTTTGGTCATAATCTTGGTAAAGTATAGTAACATTGTGTGTCAAGTTTGATCAAAATCGCAAATCGCATTTTTGAGAACATATCATCCTATCTTCACCTGAAAAGGACAAGAAATACATGTCACTTGTCACAACCGTATCCAACGTTATAATTACCGGTATTTGCTGGTTATTAACGACTGATGTTCAACTTGCAGCAAAATAGCAAATAAAGTGATCTATCTGTATACAAGCAACAGTTATAATTAAAAGAAATCAATCGGAAAAACCTACTTTTGACTCTTTAGAAGCATCGGTCTACAGTTAATGTTAACGTAGGGCGCTGACTGAAAGCAACAATAGGAACTTCTTCGAACAAACTTACTACATCTTTCCCTTTGGCTAATAAACCGAAACTCTAAATTATCTGCAGAGAACAAATTACTATTGTATAAGTGTGTAATGAAACCAATTTGGATGTATGGCGTAGAGTTATGGGGCACTGCTTCAAAATCAAATATTGCAATAATAGAAAGAATGCAAAATAAAATTCTAAGATCAATTCTAAACGCACCATGGTACTAGACAAACTTTACAATACACAATGACCTGAAAATGTTAACAGTCCGGCAAACAATACAAGAGCGTGCCTTAATCCATAGAAATAAATTAGAGATCCACCCAAACCCAATAGTTGCAGACATCTTACTACCGCATGATAATAGAAGACTGAAAAGGATATGGCCATTCGATTTTATGTAAACTAAGTAAGATATATCACTGGATTATCTTATATAATACCATACTTATTTAAATGTACAGTTTAGCTCATAGAAATTATTTTTGTATTTCTGATTGCTAAAATAAAGTGAAATAAAAAAAATCTTTCCCTTTGGACCCTTTCTCAAAATCAGTATAGCTGTTATGACGACTGTCACTATCGTACCCTGGCACAACCGTACCCATCTCCCCACTAACTTAAAAATTACAGTTATGATAGATATTAATTCAATCTATTCCATTAGGATGGGGCAACCCCGTTGTTCGTGGCGGCTCAAAATGGGCATGCATCGACCGTGGCGCTATTACTTGCGGGCCGCGCAAGGGCCGAGGCCCAGAGGTCTGACGGCGCAACCGCGCTCTGGATCGCCAGTCAATGCGGACACGATCACGTTGTGAGATTGTTACTTAAAGAGGGAGCGGATGTTAATGCAACTAGACATGTAAGAAAATATAGAAGTGATTTTAAACACTAATTTTAATAATAAATGTCGTCCAAGTTGTTTTCCAATATTAAATTAAACTTCTACTAGAGAAAGATTTACTTCGAAAATGGATCTTTCAGTTATCTACTAAATTACCAACCGATATTGATATAATAAAAATTTAAATACATTTTATTTACAAGTTATGACTGCAAAATTCCATTAAAAGATAAGAAAATATAAGTATAGAAAAATCTGTAAAGATAACCATCAGTATAGAAGCGGTAATTTTACAATAAGTAAAGAAAATGAAACATTAATTTAATTTTCTTTCGCTCATAATAACAAATGTAGATTATGGATATATAAATATACTTTTTCGGCAGTGATATCGATCTGACGAAACCATCGATAACTATTATTCAAGGCTAGTTGGTGATTTAATTAATTAAATTCACAATAATAGAACTCAGTTTAATGATTTTCCATATTCATAGCCGTTCGAAAGAAAATCTTACTAAAACTTCAAACAAAGATTCGATTTCACCTTTATATGAAGAAGTTGAAATATAAATTATTCAAAATGAAATTTTGTAATAATGTTTTATTATATTTTCTTTTCTTCATGCACAACAGAAAAATAATTGAAAATTGTAATGACTTTCTATGAGGTTTTATAAAATATCTTATCTTATAAACTAATTATTCTTAATATTTCTAGCGAAAGACTAATTGAAATTTGATAAACAATTTCATTTCATACACGCAAATACCCATAAAATAGAAATATACAATAGCTTGTATAAGCACTTTACTAATTATCTTAATTTGTATTTGTATTAATTTGCACTTTATTAATTATCTTATGTTGTATATCACCATACAGTGGTTGTTTTAGAAAATTTTGCGATTTATAAAAGAATTATAACGTAGGCTGAATTTAATACAATTTTGCAAATCTCCAACTTTTAAATCCTAAACTTTCACTTTACATCTTTTACAGGATGGGGCCACTGCATTGTTTAAGGCGGCTCATAAGGGTCATTTCGCGGTTGTCGAGGAACTCTTAAAGTACAAACCAAATTTAGGGCTACTACCGGTAATTATTATATCAGATATATATTTTTTCGGACTACGAATAAAGCAAATAAAATATGATAAGTGTTAATTGCTCTTTAAGTTGCTGTACCCAAACTTTTCTCGCTGAATACTATTAATAGGTAATTTTAGCCTATCTGTGTGATAAAACCATATTCTTTAATAAAAATATTTTTGTAAAATTCGGATGCAAACAATAAAAATCTCTACCCTCTCGAATGTAAAAAATAGTAAAACAAATGGTTTTCTTCCCAAGTATTTTTAATTATAATCCTCTACTTCAGAAGTTCCACATATGTATGGATATTCTTCACAAACACAATTATGTTCGAACCCCAAACCCCAAAACTAACTTGCACCAATGTCCATTGAAGTTACTATAAAAAGAATAAATTTTAGTTTAGTTTAAACTCACCATTTCAGAATGGTGAGACCGCCCTGCACGGCGCATGCCTCTTCGGCCACCTGACAGTGGTAAAACTGCTGATAGCAGCTGGTTGCGACCCGACTATATGTAATCAGGACGGTGTCACGCCACTAGAACTCGCTAAAGAACACCGTTGGACTGATGTCGTTCAATATTTAAGTAAAAAACTATAAATACCTGAATAAATATTAAATTAAAATCGAACTCTAGGAGTTCCGTATTAGGTTATTTTGACAAAGGTTATGTTTGATCGTTATTTAGGTTTAATTGTTGGATTAACTCATATAATAGTATTGAAGTTTTAAAAAGGAATGTTTTCTTCAAAGTGAAGTTTATAATTTATTTCATGAATATAAAAATCGATTCACTTGTGAGCAAAATCATTTATCATCAAATATAACTCATACCTTCTTAGATTCAAAGTATGAAATCTTGCTTAGAAATACATTTATATAACATATATATATATATATATATATATATATATATATATATATGTATAATATATAAAATGTGTATGTATATAAATAATATAAAGTAATATATTACATATCTGAATGCTTCAACAAAGAGAACAACTAATTGATAAATATTTATAATTTAAATTTTGTTATGATGTATAATAAATTATTAAAAAAATATAATTATTTGTTGAATATATGAATCTATATAACGTTGTTTAATTACTAAAAGAAATATTATTCAATTAAAAAAAAAGTCTTCACTATTTAAGTGGCCTTCAGTTATGTATGAATAAAATATAATAAAAACATTTATGTAATAGACTTTACAACATATGTGTGTTGTTTTCACATACGTATGTTAATCTTTATAATTTTTCTGATTCGGTAAGGAAAGATGAAGATGGAAAAACCAAGTAAATAAAGCGGTTTTATATTATAAAAATTTATATTTTGACTAAAATATAAAATAAATATTTTTCTTTCTTATAATTGAAATGAATGTGTACTTTAGATTAAAAATATACAAAAAAAAAAAAAAACATTCCTCATGTGATAACATTAATAGATGCAAATGAATATTTCCTAGATGTTGTATTTCTAACTAAAACTATATTATTACTAAATAAAGAACGCAATTGAATCAAAGATCTTAATGTAACAAACCCTAAACACAAGCCAGCATGCTGAGTAAAACTAAAACCACCTTGTGTGACATACCCCATGACTTCTCTAGAACACTGATTTCGAACAGTGGATATTTTTTCTGGTAACCACAATTCTTTCATTTTTTCTAATTGTGTTTTAACTAAAGACTCGCTGCTGAATTTTGTTTTACATTCAGTTTGTTTTTGTAACAACTTTCCATAATCCTATAAACAGTAGGAATTAAATTTACTTTGTAAAATGACTGAAAATGTATTATTGCAAACAAGAAGAATAGAAACTTGAAAATATTGTAGCACTGGGAGTATTGGCATCTTAACTTCAAATCATTTTAATTATTTTTAAATTCAAAATAAGGGTATGATAATAAAAATAATTGTAAATACCTTCAAATCTCCATTATAATTCTCCTGAATTGATTTCCTAATCAACAGTCGTTTTCGTTTTAATTTTTTCAACATTGCTAAATGCAAACGTCGTTCCAGACGTCTTTTGTCCCTGTTTTCATCTAAATGTACTTTTTCAATTGGTATTTTCCCATATTCTTTTAGCTTATATAGTTTCAAATCACTAATTTTGGGAAGGCAAATTATTGAAAAATCTTTGCATAATCCTTTTTTAACCATTGTTAAATGAACTGGTATTAAAAAATTTGAGTTAGCATCTAGATTTTTAATTGAAAATTTTTTTTCAAGAAACATCTGCAAAGAAAAGAATTATTAACATCTAAATTATCTTCATATTTTTGTAATTTTTTTTGTAAATAAGTAAAGCAAAGTAACCTGTAAATCATTTAACAACTGCTTATCCCTCAAAACTTGGAAGTATTCATGTTCTATCCCGGCCCATTCATTAATAAGTAAATCCCAATGGCATTTGAAGGGACTATTGATACCAATTTTTACATAATTAACTCTTTTAGAAGGTGGTAATCTGAAATACTTTTTTCTTAGCTCTGCACTTATCCTTTCGGCTTCATTTTTACCCGCTTCAGTATCAGGAAATAAATAGTGTTGCTGTGATTCAAAACATATGCTTCTACTCTCTCGTAATCCACCAACTCTTGCTCCATGATTAATAAGTGAAATCCATAAAGGCATTGCATAATTCGGTGGAACTATTATGTCCCAACCTGATCCATATCCTAGCTTAGAACATGTAATACTTGGTTTTTGAATAAGTATTATTGGTATAGTTTGCAAGTGTTTACCAACTACCCCATTTTCTCCTGGAACTAAATTTAACTTGCTTTTCATTTTACATATTTCCCCATTAGACATCATATCATTTTTAATCCTTTCTCTTATTCGAGAATCCCAAAGCGGGCTTTCACATAAATCAGTTGGTATTTCAAATTCATCAATAGTATTACTACCAGGAGTAGCTTTTGTTCGTTTTGTGCGGTCTAGAGTTCGTGGATCTAGAATAATCAATCCTAAAACCATGTGAGAACCTAATTCAGAAGGTGTGGAAACTTCTTTTATAGAATTCCAAATTAGAGTTTGCTTTTCACAAATTTCAGTTGTTTCATTGTCATTAAAATATTCATTAGCCCAATTATTCTTAATGCAGTGTTCTAATGGATTTCCAATTTCCTGGAGTGTATCTTTTAAAACAGCATTAGATAAAGGGCCTGTTAAAGTAAATCTATTTAAAGCTCTAATTATTGTTAATCTAGTACCATCGTTGTGACAATACTCAGTATCAATTATATTTTCATTAATATTTTGGACTATAGTTAGATTGAATAATTTTAAAATCAGTTCTGAAAGTTCACTAGAAAATGAGGGATGAGCAAAAATCCATAACTTTTGTGGACAACCATCAGAAATTGGATTCCACATAAACTGAACTTTACCAATAGCTTTATATGGATGTTCATTATGTACGATTTCAACACACCCTTCTCTATTACCCTTTGCAAATGCTTTGGCACCAAAAGTTAAACCAAAATTTGAATTTGTTATAGTTTTTAATTTAGATAGTAAATAATCTCTTTGACCAAACAATTCAAAGCACGTATAATAAGATATATCTTGTAGTAAACAATGAGCATTTGTGGCACGAAAAGCAGCTCTGAATGATTTATCACATGAAGTTTCAGGAAGCTTAAAGCCCCATCTTTCTACCATGTGGAATCTTTTGGCATGCCAAATATGTGTCTCTAACCATTGCTTAGTTTTCTGTCGCCTTCTATATTCTAGAACAAGATTTTTTGGTCTGCGTCTGTAGCATCTTGAAGGTCTTTTACTTGGCGGTGGTAATCCACTCTTAGCTAATTGGTTCATGTGACCTTCTCGTAATCTAATTGGCAATCTTTTAGAATTATGACTCATTACTCTGCGGCGCATTTGAGGTGGCAGTTTTTGAAAAATAAGCTTTGTTGTAGATGGATTCGATATTGAATTTTCCATCGCTATTATTTCTTTTTGCCTTTGAGTAGCAAAAGCAAGAAAACTCATGTTTTCTGAAATTTCCATTGGTACTGATTGGCAAACCGGGCTGTCTTTTATTTCCATTTTGTAAATACTTTGTGTTATTTGAATATCAACAAATTGCCAAATCTTTATGCCCTTCTAATGCCTTAATGATCAAAATACACTTATTTCTTATAAATGTCTTAATGTTATATAACTATGTAACAAAACATTTAACAACGTCAATTAAATAACAAATCACATTTCATTTAAACTTAACATGAGTTAATAATTTTCTTTAACCTATTTTAACAACTGTCATTGAGGAAGCATGGTTTGATTTTGACGCAAGCCGGTAATTATTTTTATGCAGTTAAATTTATCTTGGGCACGAACCTTGCCCAATACTGCCAACATAAAAAAATGTTTAACGTTTTCAATACCAACACTTTAAAACAAATGACATGATTGTTAACGATAAAATCAAGCCAGTGCATCTGCTTTATCTATTAATTAATAATAGATATAAATATCTTCGTAAATGTAATAGCAGAATGCAAAAAAAAAAATAGCATGAGCATATCTATTTTACCATGAATGATTTATTTCTTGAACATAAGGTGAGTAATCATAATAACAAGGATTTAATACAGTTTAATACTATTAACGTTAATAAACACCGATGGCGAAAGATGAGTTGAATTCGAAAGATGAAATATCAAAAGTAAAAATAAACATTTCCAAAAAACTTGATGTTGTTTTATACAAAAGTCCAGGTTTGACTGGGACAGTCCCGGAATTCCATCTTCTGTCCAGGGTTTAAATCTTTTGTCCCGGGTTTCCCATTTTTCGAAAATTAATAGGTAAATAAACAAAGTTATAGAAAGAAACGAACATGTGCTAATTATTTCAAATTAATTATGAAGAAAATTAGATCGAATTTTAAAACAAGACTCATAAGCGAAAAATACATATATAAATAACGAAAAATATAAGATATAATATAGATGAAAAAGTATTACATATAATCAAATAAAAAATATCTTACTAAAAACCCGCAATTCTGATATAGAAAAGATTCATAATTGTATCACTAAAAAGCTGCATAGGATGAAATATCGAAGCGCGTAAGCGCTGCATCGCCGTCCAACATACAAACGATGTTACGGAACACAGAGAAATGTAAATAAAATTTATACATATTATTAAAATCTCCAAAAATTATCTGATAATTTGATGTGCATATGTATAATGAATATTTTTGACCGCCAAAAGGCATTTTTTTAAACTTTTTTTTTATTAAATCTCCGAAACCGCAATTTCAAAAAAAAATGTCGATATAAGTAAATTGTTTTTTAAATTATTAAAATCGGAAGCCCAGTTTTCTTAAAAACTGAGTTACCATTTTTGGCACTTTTTACCCCGTATCTTAGGAACGGTTAGACCTGCCTTTGCCAAAAACTAATTAGCACGTCGGTTGAGTCGAAATCGGTTGATTCGTGTTCTTGAAATTGTCGTCAAAAATTGTATCCGCGCACACACACACATACATCCATTTTTTTCAAGGTATGCCACAATGTTCAAAAACCTCTGAAACGTAAAGATATATAAAAATTTTCATTTTAGATTTTCATTGCGATTACTATAACTTACCATACAAGAAGTTAATTAAGAAAATATAAAAACGTTTAGCACAAAATGTTCGGTCATATTGTCAATCGGCAATTATAGAAGTTTGTATAATAAATCTGTGTTCATGAATTTTACTCGAATTTAAGATATTGATGAGTAAATATTGATTTGACTTGACTAAAATATTAAATAATCTGAGATTTGTTGATATAATAAATATGAATATTAATAACGAAACCAATTACGGATGAACTTTCAGTTTCTTTCGATCCCTACTACCGCGGTGGTATTTGGTATGGTGGTATGGTCATAGTAGGGATTAATTTAAAAGCGGACCTGATGTCTTGATTTACCACACTGTTGGCATTTCGCTTTTATCAAGTAAGTGAGTTTTTAGTTATTTGTGTGAATTTTGTAATCATCGATACATCATAAGGTATAAGTTTAAAAAAATAGGTATCATTTTCTATTTATTAATTTGCTATAACTGGTGGTAAAATGAATTCATTAATGGTGGTAACTCCTGGAGAGCATTTCCATAAATAATTAAGTGTATTTAATTATTCAATACTTTGTAATTCAACGATGATTTTATTAGACATCGACTTTTTTGTACACTTTTTTTTGTTTTTGGATATAAAATCATGACACACTTAATCTAACTTGGAACTAATTTGCTCCAACCTCTATAATGGCTTGGTACATATAAATATAAGATAGCAGAAATCCATAATATTTTTAATTGGGAAGCAATGTCGAAAAATTGACTAAAAATGATATTAATTACTATATGTAATCGAATCAAAGATCATTAAAGATTAGTAAAATGACAATCGATAGTAAAATAGTTATAGAGTAAATGAAAAAAAATAAGAATAATAATGAATGCACTCGAATACACCATGAAACGTTACATTTTGGACTTATATGAATCTTTTAAATCATCTATGTATGGTTGCACTGTATATTTCTTCTTTTAAACATTTCTGTGAATATTTCCTACTTGCCAAATTTTCATTAAAATTTGAATTATATATATTTAATACTAAATATTTGAATATATAATTAAAATTCATTATTGATTCATCTACACGATTGCTATTAATTTATGCTACGTAGAGGTGAGAGAGACTAACCAAAAATCTTAATTTTTATAAAATAAGAATATAGAAATTGTCTTAATTATAACGTATATAATTGAAATTGCTTTTTAAGGTTTTACTTTGTGTGTTGCATTGATAATTCAGATTTTTGCTTTTAAAAAAGTTTTTTGCTTATGTTTTTTTTCTTCGCAAAAAATGATTTGTGTTTATAATCAAGTTTTTATTAAGTTCTTTGAAAATCATCAAACTATTAATTTTGAAATTAATGTCTTAAGAGCCTCTCTAAACAAGATTCTTCGATGCGTTTTCATATAATATTTTCCAAATGATATAAAAAATAATACCTGATAACAAATAATAATTTCGTATTGTCCATGTAAATAATTGAAGATGAACGTAAACGAAATCATCATCTATTTGCATGCCAATTTATCAAACAATGGCAATAATCATCGTAGGCCAAACCAATTTGTATAAATTCAATAAATAATATTATTAGTGAAAACAGAACGTATATTTCGAAACTTTATATACTCACATATATATTAGATATAATATATATCTAACGAAAAATTTCTTCGAAATTAAACTAGATTTATCTACTAATACATGATATAATTTTCATGTCGTCGATATTCGCGATTAAATTATTTTGATACATAAATTAAAATTTCTATCCGTTTCTTGACTTTATTTTGTTGTTGTCTCATTTAATAATCGATTTTTGAATTGTGATTACCAATTTTATTAATCTACATATTTTAGTTTGATCGTAAGGTATGATTTGATAAAGCTCTAATCCCTTAAATCAAAGGTATTGTTAAGAACAAGGTTGTATTTCGTATGAAAGGTATTTATATTTTGGAGCAATTTTCAAATGCTTTAAATTATAAACTCGTAAATCAAAGAATATTGCAATAATTTATCATTTAAATTGAATCAATTCTCAACACGCGCCTGATTTGGATCTAATAAAAATTAAGCGAGCGTTGTGCCATTCCAAATTAAATTATTCATTGGATATTTGCACATTTATTGCAAATAGAATGTTTAATAATTTATTATGATTTCATATACCACGACATATTCATAAATAATGACTTTTGAATCAAATTTGTCTTAATTCAAAAACTTCGTTTTTTCAGTATTATTATTTTATATATCATTATGATTAGTGCATTAAATAACATATTTATAAAAAAATAATTAGGAACTTGGGAAATAATATTTGGAATGATACACATAAGATGAATATTTAAATATCATATTAAAAATGTTCTTCAGAACTCAGAATATCAGAATAATTAAATTATAGACAACCTGATATCAAGCAAGAGATTTAATTGAAAATATAGATGAAAATATGTTTGCATGTGAATTTCTGCAACTGCTACATTAATATTTAAAGTGAAAAATATATTATAACTATTAGAAAAATTCTAATTTGAAAATATTTCAAATTAAAATAGCAAAACCATTAAGTTGTCGTCTAAAAAGCGGCATTGTTGAGAAGAGCTTCATCATAACAGCTCATAGAATTACAAAAATGAATAAAATAACAATTCAAATTGTCATAAAAACAAACATTACCTACTAAAGGTATTTTGTCAATTGGTTTTCATATCATTTATGTGCAAACTGAAGTCTTTAAAGTCTTACAAAATATCATATTTTAAATAAAATTTTGCATTTGCTATTTAAAACTTACTCCTAATATCTTATTTTTAAGATTGGTTCCATCAAATTTAGATAATAGATATAGAGAAAAGTAATCTATTAAATTTTTCTTCTATTCAGCACTTTAAAGCTCAAAATATCATGATAATTTAGAGTAATCTTCTCTATATTACACTCTCCTATATAATTATATAATTTTCTCTATACGTTTCAAAGAAAGGTTTTAATTATTGGAAAGAAATCTAACTATATACTGTTGTGTTGTGCAACCATCTATTAGAATAGACCAACCAATAGATACCATACAATCCATTGGGAACAAAATTGCGAATATTAATTTAAAAAAATCCGTCGAGGATAAGAAAGATAAAAATGATATAAATCAATTATTTCAGTTCATATACTTCAGACTTAATCGATTAGAGAAAAAAAATTATTTTGCATGGTTTTTGAGTGCCAATCAGACGGAGAAGATCAGTGACTAAAAAACATTATCGTTATAAAAAATTAATAGTTTCAATCTATGTAGTGTGTGTACATATACATAATAGATTTGTATAGGTGTACGTTCGTATAATCCATGTTCCTATATTCTTGTTTGTTTGGAATTACACAATAAGTACGCTGTGAGAAACTCTTGGATAGTAACCTTCAATTGAGCTAATCAACTTTG